TTAAGAAATATCGGGGTCGTTGTCGGACGAACACTTGTAAATTTAGGAATGTTTTATCATGTACGTAACTAAAAGCTCTTCGTACTAATTAGAGGGTTCAGGAACTTTCTGTGGTCATTGCACAACAGGGCGCGGCATTTTGTAAGACTTGACTGGCAGTGACTTGGATCAGTGTGTAGCTCCGTTTTATTGCGAATTCATCCGTAGGTTGATGACCAGTATGCAAATCCCAGACCATTCAGATGGCTTTTATAACATTTCGAAGCTTTGAACTATCGTCTTCGTTATGTATCCTTCCATATCTTGTTATGGTCAACATATAACAAAACTGGTGGTGGTAGGAGACTTGCATTCTAGAACAATAACACTAGGGACTCGACTATGAATAGTTTTCTAGTGTTACGTATGCCTGAATACCGATTACCACGACGTGCAATGCTATCCGGTATTGGAGATGGTTGGAAGAAAGTTCGGGGCTGCCAAACCAAAACGTGGCATCAGTGCTTGAAGTCACTAACTTCTAGTCTGAGCCATGTTGGTAGATGCAGACTACTTGGTTGGGGTCCGCATGACTATCGTAACCAATGGTTGGAGACTTGGTGACATGGCTCAGAATGGATCACAATGGCGTAGGTGTATACACTCTCTGTCTTCCCTTAAACTAAGAGATTAAAATCGCTTCATACCTTTCTTTCTAAGAACCAATTTTTTCTTCTTGTACTATATCTCTATATGCAATCTTTCTCTTATATATTACCACCTTTGACCTAACCACTGCTATGAATCCGGTGTTCATCTTGTGCGCTGATGCGGTATGACAACCTGGACCGATGCATATATGTGCCTGGTCCTACGTTGTAGCTGACTGATTGAGACAGCTTTGAGTAAACATGCATTTTTCGTTGGTGTTTCAATGAAAATAATTTATTTACAAACCTACGTCCCACTTCTTCCGAAATCACTTAATGTGGGTGGTAATCTGTCTAGTGGGGCTACCAACATTCCCTGTAAAGTCGGTAAAAGCACCATCTGTTCATGCCTTTCGACCTTTCAAGTTACACCAACGCTCTTTTGGTACTTGTAAGTTAGCGATACAGAGGTAGTTCATTGCGAAACCGTACTGCTTTTCAGAGACAGCCATATATTCCATCTGGATACTCAACTAATACATTGCAAGTAGTCTTCACTACCAACTCGAGAACTATGGTGATTGTACTTGCAGGACAGTATTTCTCAGATATTTATCTTATGTCTGCTCCGAAAACGTTAGTGTGTGCCTTATTTCATACATGGTATATATCCTCAGAGAATTTGCAATGAAGGTAACGAGTTTCCTTAATTGCATGGGATGCATTTCATCGGGTCTCTTGGATTTCCCACGGAGTTTATTAAATGGAACGAAGTCATCGTCGTATTTAATGGCCAAAGTACCTAAAGTGTGGTTTGTGGGATTTTTTATCACCAGCAGTAGTGTTTCTACTGTGTATGTTTTTAATGTTCTGTAAGTGCCTCAGTATTTTGAAGTCACCTATTGGCGATCCTATATGGTCATTCATGCGATTATGGTATACTTCAAACCCTACCTATCCTGCAGTTTATGTTAGAAAAAAAAGACGTTTCGGAGACATTAGAGTTCGTACACAACTTTGCCTCATTACTATCTTGGTTTACATGAGCTATCTGTCAACCAAAACGTAAAACTTGTACATATGTACACCGATTGAAGTTGCCATACCACAGCAGAGAGATGAAGTTGTCAGTAGGAATCCCAGGATAGTAGTAACAGTTTCAGTGGTGATAGAAAAGATCAGGTACTGAAGATACGATACGACAGCAATGGGGTTAGACAGAGCGGATGCATGCGCGTCATTGCCAATGTCATTCAAAATTTCTAAACACTGGTTACTATAATAACGCGGAACCCAATCGGGTAGTATACACCTATCACAACATGACAGTAATAGTGACTGCGCAGACTAATGCCATGTTTTGATCTGACCACCCCTACATATCTTCTGGATGGTAGTTGGAAATACGTGGCGTACTTCTAAAATACCTCAATCGATGAAGATTTACTACCTTATCAGTGGATTTTCCACATTAATAAAGTGCTTATTTCTAACCAAGACATTGTTCATAACGTGGTTTACAAATAAAGACCATTGCTTCATGGACATATGAACTAATCATTGTATTTAAAGGCTATCTTTCCCAGACACAAAGTAGAATGGAGAGAACTGCTGCGCAGTATACTCGTCCCGTAACTCAGATGGATATCTCGGCCTCATCACAAGTAGGCGAAACACAACAGCTTTTTGGGTGCGTGACGAGATTTCGTTAGACACCAAGACATCAGCACTAGTGAGACTACCAAGATCAGTGAATCGACGATAAAAGCGTTATCTCTAAAAGCATGTCTATGACAAAGTTAAATAAAAATGGAGCGAGTGGACAACACTGACGAACACTTCTCGAAGAACCCGTTTTCGATGACAGTTCATCATAAGCTCTGACTCGACCAATAGTATTCGGGAAGAAAACCCTTATAATGTTAACCCTATTTTTTGACACTCCTCGCAATGACAGGTACTGTCATGAAACCTGTCTATTTACGTGGTTGAACGCTATCCAAGTGTCATTCTCTAGCTGTTCCTGAAATATATTTTTAACTTATCCATCATCAAGTTAAACTCCAAAGTGTTTTCTTGATGTGGCTTTTCTACATTCAGTGAGGCGCAAATACTTGCTCGCTCTGCAACTGAACTACCTGGCATGATAGGAGCTAAAGGAACATGTATTCCAGCCCATATAGTTCAGTTGGGGCACCACTATAGGCGAGTTCGACGAGGGCATCATTGTAGTAGCCACGGTCGTGGTTGGACATGGCGCATATGTCATCCGTTTTTGATATTGAGACTTAGCCCTTCTAAATTTCCAGTGGCTTAAATTCTTCGAGTCTATTTCAGTTTTACGAAGAGTAGTGAAAACTTATTTGTTGAATATGTGGCGCATATATATTTGGTACCCTCTTGTACCAATATTTATGTGTTCAAATAAATAATTTTTGAATATCAGTCGACTATCTTGTGGTCTTTGTTATATTGTCAGTGTCGTGCGTTTTTTTAACTGCTATATATAATCCTTTAAAAACCTTCCGATGGATGTTCAAACATCTATTCTGAGATAATTGTATGTCTATTCGCTTTACACATGTTTGGTTGGATAGGGTCAGGAAGTCATATTTCGAAGCAATGCACCGCATAGTTACATTTATTTAGGGGGAGCGTGTAAACGATGTTGGCGACGTCTTACTGTTGATGCACTATGCAAAGACAATTCTGGGTTATACCTCGCTTCTTTGACATATTTTATTTATGCAGGTATCACTGATAGTTCCCTGTTAGTTCCATCCTTAAATTTTTCCGTTCGATAGTAGTTACATTTTGATCTTTTAAAATTAAGCAACTACCTTTAAAAGAACAAGTCTAAAGTTTGTTCACCAAAACTTCATTTTTGCGGAGTTTAAACCAGCAGACTGAACCCATCAGCAGCCGGCGATACGATTACTGATGGATTTTGCTACTCGTCCTCCCTTACGCACATGGGTTTCGGCGACCATCACTATTATGTTCTCAAAATTGACTTCAGTACCGTCTACTGACTAGTTTAGTCATGTTCTTGTTACAGCATTTACATCCGCCCTGCTAGATTTCATCTTTACATTTCCACTATCACTAGTGCTACTTCTAATGCTGTGAGATTCGTTTTAAAATAATTATCTCGCTAGGCCCATTCCATCCGTTCAATATAAACATGATCGTAGTGGCTATATCGAAACGCATCGCACAAAATGCCCGGATCCCAACTAAGACTGGTCAAATTTTAGTCCAAGAATCAATAGCGGAACCACCCAAACCATAACAGATTAAATTTATGTGCTCCACATGTGTATCGTTCATTTTGGGGTCTTTAAACTCTTGGGATAGGAGTAGTTCAAACTTGGTTTAAAATAAAGTAATGTTTTGACCTCTGAAAAATCTGTACTGCATGTGTTCAGAAGATATTCCCGGAAGCTGTTTGGTCTTTGTTTATCAAAGGTAACCGAAAGCTTTTTAAGTTATGGAGCTAATCTTAAGAACGTTCATTCACCTGAAGGTCTTATGTAACTGTGCAAAAACACTCGTCACTTTTTCTCTGTGATAACACCTCAAGGTCGACACGATCGTAAATAACAATTCAGGTCTGTCATGGATAAATATTCCTACATAGTGTTGACAGCCACGAGGCGCCAATCACTGATCACTTAACAGCACTCGAGTTCATCTTATTCCCAATCAAACTTTATCCTCGCTTCCTGATGCATCGATCATCAATCCTTCTAATCCATATACATACATAATGAATTCTAGATTGGATTTCAGTTCATATCCACCTGTTTTACTCCATATTAAAGAACGTGATATCTTCGAAGTATGGGGAAACATTCTATTGAATCTTCAAAATTCCTGTTTTACGCTCTCACCAACTGCAGTCAATAAGAATAAAAAGAATAGTTCTATCAAAAGCCTCTCAATATTCAGTAAGTTAAACTGCCAGATATAATTGAAGTGAGTACTTTGAGCTCGCAAGTAGTTAAGTTAAATGAATCTGAAAGCTGTGTAGGGGGGTCCTTTTGCCGTTTCTACCTATCGAATAGATAACAGTGGCAGTTTGCTTTAATTATGCCCGAAAGTTAATTAGTTACACAGTTTTACACATTTGAGTTTTGATTTAACTGTCGTTCGTAAGCATTTCTTCATTGTTCTCGTCTATTGCTTTTAATGCATATCTATCATAACTAGATTTCTATTGCAGCGGAAATTAATTCTCCTGATCGCCAATATCGGGGGCAACTACTGTCTTAAACATATTCCATTATATTAAATAAGAATTCTTGATAACCAGAAGTGTTTCCTAATAAAAAAAACGAACCGTTCGCAACACGTGTAAAATACCAGGTAAAAGATTTCAAAATAGGTTAAAAAATAATTAGTCAACATCTGTTAAAAAAACAAGTACGAAAAAGCGAACAATGAAAAATTTGGGTTTGAACTATCAATCATAACTCTAAAACAACAGAAAGGAAATTAATGACATTATCATCGAAACAAAGATAAACGAAAAAAAAACCAAATCTAGTGAAAGAACCGCAGTAAAATTAAATTTTCCAAGTGGATATTTATATATCACTCCTCGTATATATGTGCCATAAGCGCACGCATGAACTCTGCTTGTGCTCTTAGTATGGTGGAAAAGTCTTCGACTCGTTCTTCTGAAAGAGAAATGTGGGATGTTAAACAGGCGATATGTATATGGCGTTTAGTTTTTAACGAATAAAATCGCTGAATATACAGAGAAATAAATTTATTTTCAAATTTTAGAAAATAATTGTGGCAATGACGATATAATTTGAACTATAGATATACCGTTTAACTTGTAGGTGAACCAGTAATTGTTAGGATTCCATTCATGGTTACGTGAGACTTGACTGCATTATTTGAAATAAACAAGGTGGGAAATGAAACACAAACATCATTTAGAAAATACTACAACTATATTTATCAATAACATTACCCTAATTCATTATTGTCAACATCATATGTAGTCATATAATGAAATAAACTACATATAGTTGATGTTATCAGATATATCTTAGTGTAATGTTATACAATAAAGAGACTACTACTATGAAATCCTTTATGACTAGACTAATCTGAACATCAAAAGCGATCAGCATTGCAGAAACTAAGTACTTTAAAGCTTCAATAAACTTAGCAATAGCTTGCGATCGTCAGCTTAGATATACTGTTCAATCTTCTATGAAAGCTAATTAACCCTTAAAGTTTCAGGTTACTAAGACAAGTTTTAAGTGTTCAATATGCTAGAAATTTCAAAATCTACAGTTTATTTAGAAAAAAAAGCAATATGTACATGATTTTTTTTTATATACTTGTCTCTGTCTGCACAAAATGTAGCTGCTTACATCAAAAGAATTAATTTCTTGAAGTCATTGCGAAAATAACTTCAGGAAAAAATGCTGAACTATTTAAAACTATTAGAAAAATGAGTTCTTTTTTTAATTTGTTTAATGAATTGGTAACAAATTGGTATAATCGAATTTATGAATATGAAATAAATGGAAGGCTACGAATGATGGATTTTAATAAAAGAGGTATGCTTTCAAAGTTACTAAATAAACTTTATAAAAGCTAATACAAACCCGATTAAAACAAAATAAAACAGAAAATTTATCAACTCACCTAGTTCATCAGTCTCATACAGATCGACTATAACATCTTGAAAAGATCGAGCTAACTGATCTAGAAAAGCAGTTCGATCTTTTTCTTTTGTGGCTTGAAATGTAGCACTGACAAGATTAATAAGTTCTGTTAATTTTGCACGAATTTTCACCTAACCATAGATTGAAATATTATGGATTATTATAATAATTATTGTGTAGATATGAATGGGCTATATATAGTGTAGTGTATTTAAATGTCTAACAGATTTAAAGCTGCAGCCCATTCAATTCTCCTTTATGTCTATAGAAGGACACCGATATAAAGTTGTAACAATACGCCTCTGTTGTAATACATAAAGATATTGTCTGAAACAGCTGAAGTTCATCATCAATCCTGAATTTTGAGTCGATACCTCATGGAAACAATATCTACGTATAAGGCTTCCCATATTTCCTTTTGTTTATCGACATGACCCTCCAGAGCAAAAAGTGGAAGAATAGTACTGTTTGAAACCCTATTTTTTGTACGAAATACCTAACCTTCACTACCCTAATGCAGTCACTGATCATTTCAGTTTCCACAATCAATATTTAGACTGCAAGAAGGACACTTTGTAGTTCTCAAAACGGTTCAGTTCTTTAGATAATTTTAGGTCTTAGATTTTCTGAAAAATAATAGTGAAGTATTAAGGTATAAAATCAAATATACCTGAACTAAGCATAATGAAGTGAGAGTGACAGCAACTTCAGCAGTTTTTCCACTGCGGGCTTTATTCGTCACAGAAAGTAACGCTATTTCTGGTCCTACAAAGAAAAGACATAATAAATACAATGGTCGATAAAGTTAGACTTAATCCTAATCAACTGAGACGGATTGTAAACAGACTACAAATAAAGATGAATGACCCATAAGGAATATACCATATGGATACAAGCGTATTCTTTTAAGTTGTAGAAATATTACAGAAAAAACGAGATATATAGACTGGAATATACCGGTGTAACGCATCTTTGAATATCAATATAACGGTGAGAGTCGGAGAAGCCTCTCAACGACATCGTTGAATATACTTGTGCAACAACTAAACACACTTCAGACTTATTATTAATAAATTTCTATTATCATAGTTGAAATCACAAGTCGGTCTAAGCTAGAACACCATTAAAAACCTGGAAGTACTGGACGGGCATTTCGTCCCAGTATGGAACTCCTCAGCAGCGCGCATCCACAAGGAGTCTCATACTAAGACGAAACGGCCGTCCATTGTTTTCAGTCGTGGTACTGCTTAGATCGACTCGTGATTTCAAATGTGAAAATACTACAATCTCTACTAATCTCCATACTGATAGGAATTTCTATTAGTATGAAAAATATATGTTCTTACAAATTTGTAATCATATTATCAAAAACTTTACATATAAATGACATATTTCATACAACTAATTTATTACACTGTTTTATAGGGTAGTAAGTTAAGCTGGTATATCTTTTTTAAAGGGTTTACAATTCAAGTGTGTACGAATTTGAAATGAACAAATAATTTACACTAAACAAAAAAATACAAACCCGATGTATGCAATAGACACGCAACATTTTCTGCTAACCAATCCTCGGGTGTTATTGTAATTTGATCAATTATATTGATGATATCATCAGGTGTCCATAAACCAGAATGAAACATATTTGACAGGACACTTCCAAGCTCTCCAAAACAAGCAGATAATTGTTGAGAATCAGCAGCTGTATTTTCACACATTGTACGCCACATAAGATTCCCTAGTGTTTAAAACAAAATACTGATTGTTTAAGAAGCATCAAGAAACTTAAATGCGAAATATTTACGTTAAATTTTTAAAAAAAGTGGCTGAAAATAAAAATACCCTTAAGTTTTATTTAGGGTCGGGTTGAACGGATACATCTACAGCTAATCAAAACAGTATTTGCAATCATCGACCATATTGGTTTAGCTTGTTGAAGAATGAGTTTTCGTAAAACATTCAAAACAGGCGTGTGGCTGATATTTTATTTAAGGATAAATTTTTTTTATTTAGAACAAGAAATGTGAGGTCTGGTCATAACGCAACTAATACTGTGGGGAAACAGTTTTAATGTTCCCATAAAGTGGTCACTGGTTTTCTCTATAATTTATACATCTGTGGTAACCATTTTCATATAAAATTGTCCAGAAATAGTTTAGCTGGTATGGAAGCACTATAAACGGATAAGCAGGAGCAACACTTCCAACTTTCATTTCGTTTTATCAATAGTAGGTCTTCTGGAGCAACTTGTACTCAATAGTCCTAGTGATATTATTCGACGGTTTTAAAAATGAGTTGAAAAAAAGATACAAATGTAGTTTTCGTTTGCCTTTGGCAATCTGCTGACAGTCACTGAATATGTCCTACATTTCGTTAGTGATATATTGTAACTCATATGTATAGGTACTTCTGTTAAATTTACTAACATTGTTTTCAACAAACTAGGGTTATGAGTGACTCCCGCATTATCAAAACACCCTTCTGATCCACGTACAATATTTTCTGAATACTATTGGTTTTTTCAATTAACAAATATTTATAAGGCTAAGATATTTTAATGCCGAAATTTCCAAATTTTATTACCAGTGTATGAATACAAAGTGCTTATAATGAGAATATAATGAAAATTTATTAGGAATTCCTAATCGTTTACAACTGCCACCAACCTATTAATTACAAATACGTTTATGATTTTCAATGAATATTAAAAAAACTCTACAGTTAATCTTCCACGGGAAATTTGTTTCCTGGATATTTTCAGATATAATCTCATAATACTGATTTTTATGATACACAGCTAATAGAAGATTTAACAGAACTTAAAACTGATTAACAGAATTACCTCTATGTAATGGTCCATACAAAATAAATAAAATTCTAGCTTGATGAGTGTACGAATAAGAATGGAGAATCTTCATCAAAGTGTTTGAAGCTGGCCAAAAATAATTATTTGTCAGTTTACTCGAGGAAGCTGGTAAATTCTGCGTGACCAAGGTTGGAAGTGATGACAACGAAGATCCTGCAACACCACTGTGAGTAATAAATAGTAGATAAATAATACTAAGGAGTAACAGAACCAACTTCTCAAAATAATTCTAATATCATTATTCTAAAGAGGTGAACTTAGATCTACAAAAATGTCCGGTAGGTATTATTGTTAACCATCACAAAGTAAAATGGTGAATTATGAAGTATACATGCTAGACTGCAGTTCCTGATACTAGACGATGATATACTTTACAAGAATTGTTAACGTGGTAGCTATGGGAATCGAAATGCCGTTAGGATTACCTTGGTGTGTATTGCTGAGTTGAAACATTTTACATCTCTTCTAAAGCTAAGTTCCTAATTTTATGCATCAAAAATACTGTTTTATTAATCGTGGATAGATGGAAAAGATTTCAAATTATACAGTTATGATAAGGGTGTCTAAGCGGTTAAGTTACCTAATATTCAGTCACAAAGTTTCAGGTTTCAGCCCTGCTCCATCTACTTCACTTTAAGCTGCTGGGTAGAGTCATTAGCCTTTACATTTAGAGTGTGACCCATACTCGAGTACCTAGAAAACCAGTTGATTTCAACACTAGCGACGGAAATATCAAGATGGCAGATAGTACTGTTTACGCAACATGACAACCTTCCAGAAAGAAACCTGGACCAAAGGCAAGACCACCAGTCAGAAGCATGGGTTTCCTATCTAATCTAACAGCATCACAATTGCTTGATCACTGGGTGGGGATTAATGTCACGTGTATCAAGTCCTTCTTAGTGCAGACCGGATGCTATCGACTAATTTGAAACGTGGCCGTTAGTCTATGTGATTCGACACTACGTGCACTATGTTAAGATTAGATGGTGGTTGGAGATAGTCAACAGGAAACCCTGGACCCGGGTTTCGTGCTGCTTGGCACTCGTCAGCAAGGTGTACCTGCAATCTTGAGGGAACAGTGATCAATCGATTGTGACTACATCTCAGTCCTACAGGTCGGTCGCGGTCAATTGGTAACGTCTCTGACTGTGAAGCTGGGTGACACTGGATCGAATCTGTCAGGGAGTACCAGTTTCCTCAAGACTACAGGTACAATTTGATGAAGTGCCAAGTAGTACGAAACCCAGGTCCAGGGATTCCTATTTACTATCTCCTCAACCACCATCTGATATAACAGTGTGTTTATATACAAAGTACTACGCAAGAGAATAAACGTTTAATAGAATAGTGATTGGAAGACAGATTTCGTAGATTATTTAGGTCATAGTGATTTTAAGACCTAAATATAAGGTTTAATTCTTGTTTGATAAATCAAATAAACTGACAAGAAACTAGCTAGCAACTATCTTGTATACATACACAGACCCTTATTTAACAAGTAACTGTAATATAATCATTTCTGTTCTTAATATTTTCCAAATGCTGTATACCAGCCATTCAGTCATACGCAACTTAGAACTTGTAACATGTGTACACCGTTTCAAGTTGATATACCCTATTAACACAGCGAGAAGAAATCTTCAGAATAAATCCCAGAGTGGTGCAGGTAGTAACAGTGTTGGGGATGATATAAAAATTCAGGCGTAGAAGACATGATTCGAGAAAATACAGGATAGTGAGAAAACAATAAAATTATAAGGTGATTTAGAAACTTAGGGTTTGAGAAAAAACAAAGAATGGATGCACCTGCACCATTGCGAACGTTGTTGAATCATATCATTTAAAGTCTCTAACCATTAGTTACGATCATGATGTGGATCCAAAACAGTTAGTCTGCACCTGAGTGTCTTAGTACAACAGTTGGCGTGTTTACGAACTGATGCCAGGTCTTGGTTCGACCGCTCCTATTGTTACAACAAACTACTATTATTCAAGCCATCATCGTCCGTCGAGGTAGTCGGGAGGTGGTCACATGTAATACATGTCCGACAAACGTTACCTACCTCATTGGTCGATTTGTCATCCTTAACCCTTACCCTGCATCTAACTTCATAACTGCTTACTCAGAAATCCCAAAATGCACGGGTATTAGTTCAATGACCTTTATAAACCCAATATTAATAACCTAGGAATCACTATTTAAAGGCTATCTTTCCCAGACACAAAGTAGAATGGAGAGAACTGCTGCGCAGCATACTCGTCCCGTAACTCAGATGGATATCTCGGCCTCATCACAAGTAGGCGAAACACAACAGCTTTTTGGGTGCGTGACGAGATTTCGTTAGACACCAAGACATCAGCACTAGTGAGACTACCAAGATCAGTGAATCGACGATAAAAGCGTTATCTCTAAAAGCATGTCTATGACAAAGTTAAATAAAAATGGAGCGAGTGGACAACACTGACGAACACTTCTCGAAGAACCCGTTTTCGATGACAGTTCATCATAAGCTCTGACTCGACCAATAGTATTCGGGAAGAAAACCCTTATAATGTTAACCCTATTTTTTGACACTCCTCGCAATGACAGGTACTGTCATGAAACCTGTCTATTTACGTGGTTGAACGCTATCCAAGTGTCATTCTCTAGCTGTTCCTGAAATATATTTTTAACTTATCCATCATCAAGTTAAACTCCAAAGTGTTTTCTTGATGTGGCCGGCTAAGTGTCGGTTTGATTTGGTTTACCTACTCGAGCCTTAAAATCACTTGCCATTATTACTACACCAGAACGCTTAGTCTTTTGAAGGAGGTTAGGTAGTTTTCTATACAATTCAGCTTCATATGAACTGCAGTTAGTGGGAGCGTAGGCAGAGATAACAAGAAGGCAATATCTTATTTTTCTATGTTTTCTACTTCTTACTCTCCCGTTTAGCTGAACCGCGCACAAGCAACTGTTTACTGGAATCCTCTATAAAAGAGCCTGTTTTGCTCTTTAACGTATCGCTATACCTATACCAGCAAGAACACGCTAAAAAGCAGTGTGGTCTCCAGATACTCTATGTGCAAATCGTGTCGATTATTTATACTGACAAGATGCGGTCAAATAAATGAATGCACTTGGATTATACATACACGTTTCAAAGACGTACCAAACACCGATGGTGTACGATTCTAGAGCTCTTGCTAAAGACACCTGTTGTCCTATCTGACACTAGGTTCGAACATTATAAGCTTCAACATATAGTTTATAGGGTGGTTTTAGGGAGACCGGGAATAACATTTTGTGAACTCAAATCATTAGCATTGGTGGACTGTGATCATAAAGATATAGAAGGGTTAGTTATAGGGATAAAAGGATCATTAAGGGATAATGGAGGGATTCAGTAGTGAACAAGATGATCCCGGGTGCTGATAGGGATATGAAGGATTTCGTCACTTCCCGGATGTCCACAACTTGGGAGGACATTTCTCCCTGAGGGATCTGAAAAGGAAGATGAATTGGTGGTGGTCTCAGTGTCCTGAGGGCTCAAGGATCAACCACTTGATGCCAACCACGCGGGGCCTAAGTATGGGAACGTTTATGATGTGCTAGCTCTGCACTTCAAAGCTCATTATATATATGACAAACCGTTTAATATCCACATTTGCAAATAATTATAGATATTAAGTTCTACAAAACCAAAATACCTAATAATAACAAACGAATAAACCATATTTTAGAATAAGTACACTAACCGCGGCAATTGTGTGACTGTTAATAAATCATCCGATGAAAATCCATCGTCACTATAATTGCTAGATGAGGAGACTGAAGTCAGTAGGGAATTATCAGAGGGATATCTAGGTGATACATGATAAGTGATTGTTTCATGGGTCCAAGAAGTATTTGAATGGGCTTCAGATGGATGTGGATTTTGAAGTGCGTCATACTGAATAGTTAAGGAACAGTTATCCGATGATAAACGTTGCTTAGTATTGGAAATGGATGACGATGGTGAGTTGATCTCATCATACATTTGTGGTAACGCATTAGGGTCTAAAAACGTTTTTCTCAGGAAAAGGCGAAGCGTCAGTTCTGATTGAGGATCTACACCTGAAGCAATAAAAAGCTCAGAGACAAATTTTTCTTGCAAAGTCAACAAAAAAGGGCGAATCCAGAAAACTATGTTTATCATCTAAACTCTTAGGACTACTTAAGTTAAATGTACACTCGGTAAGTAAATTATTGAGGGGAAAAATCGATTAATTCTATGAAAATCGTATGGATCTACAATTTTTCAAGGAATTAAATCTAAGTCCTGAATGTAATCCACATTCTAATTATGAATATTTAATTTTGGTGAAATCAACATAACCACGAGTTATTCTAAGTAAAACAGCACTGTGACAAACACCGGAGTTAAGACAGCAAAATAATGCCGTATATTTGAAGTTCAGCATTTATTTGGATATTTCTTTAAGTCAACCGACATTTTAAACTGTTATGTTAGGTTTTAATTTTATGTCTATAAGAAACAATCAAGAAGTATATATTCTCAGATAAAGATGTCTGATCGAAAAGCGATCTAAATTCCAAATTTTAAATAAATTACCATAAAAATAAGCGGGTAGTCGAAATTTATGAATATTTTAGAGCCTCCGAAAATATGATATATTTATTATATTTCTTCTAGTAAATAAAACAACCGTTGTTTAGTACAATAAAAAAGTGCAGTCCTCTGCTATACCATTCCACCCATTCTTGGGTAGAAAAAGCACGTAACTGGTCAACATGAAATAATTCAAGCATACTTAATGGCTATTCGATGTCGTTTTATATTTCAGTTATCTGTCTACAATGACCTTGATCGTCTTTTAAGAATGTTTACGACTTATGTTAAACCACTTAGTGTATCGCAAGTGATCGCAAAGCAGAAAAGTTGTTTAATAAGTGTTTGATATCAGTATTAAATAAGTAGGTTATCGTAGTTTTTCGTTTTTTAACAGACAATATTAGATGTTGCTATTTCACAACTATTAAGATTACTCAGGATATAGACAAGGAGACTTAATTTATAGTGGAAGCCAAACATAAGCACACAAATTGGTGACAACACATGAAAGCTTACTTTTTAAATAAGATGACAATGTAAGTATGATTGTGAAGGCTACTTTTAAGATGAACAGATTATTTTCCTTCAAATCAGCTTTTAGGAATAACTAATTTCAGGAAACTGATACAGCTGGTTTCGCATTTTTATTTTTGAAAGCTCTTCTTATTTCAACCAATTGCAACTTCTACAGAACGTTTATTAGTCTAAGTTCACGAATGTCTTAATTAAATTAACGTTTTTACTCGTTCATGTTTACTTCGCTTTAGCGTTTACTATGCTAAGCAACTGAGAAAAATCCATAGGAATGCTTTTTCTTATTAATGGTCAACCGGGATAAACTCCTTTACATTGGTTTTCATTTCAAATACACACATTTGCCAACTCATTGATACATACATAGGATCTCTAGATTATTTGTTAGAGGAACTAGAGACTGTTCTAGCACATATCGTTCAGTTATTATCAGTTGATAGAATTTCCACATAAAAAATAGCAAAAATGGAACAGAACAAATATAATCACGTAAAATTGTGATACAAGAGTAGTCTTCTCCAGTTTGTCTCTTACGAAAAGTGACACTGGCCATAACAGTTTTATGTATACCAGGTAAACTAAAATTAGACAATGGACAAACAAAAACATCAAACGGCTACCTGGTCTCTGACAGATCAAACTTGATAGACGAAACCAGAAGTTCTCATTAAAGCATACATGCACAAGAGTGTGAAAAACCCGCTGAATATTTTGTTCTGGCCATCCAAAAATAAATTCTTTCAAGAAAACGCCATACAAAAGTAAGGCCAAACATTTTAAAGGACCTATGGGACAGATGCTTGGATAATAGTCTGGTTCCTGTAGATTCTGACTAGTCCTGGAAGACTTTTCTAGATTCGGCATATGCTAAAACAAAGATTACTTATTTATTTATTCGAACACATAAATATTGGTACAAGGGGGCACCAAATATATATGCGCCACATAAACAAAGATAATTGAGTTGGAAACTTTTAACCATCAGACATAAAAGTAATAGACACTAACGATTATCAGATGGGTGTAAAACGGTTGCGAGATAAAGTATAGTTGTGCTTGAAGCTGTAGAATCTACCACGAGCTTCAGTATCCTACATCAAACGCTTGTCGACGTCAAGATCTAAGAAAACTCATTGAAGTTTGACCCTTTTTCAATAGAAATATACTTCAGTGGTGGGTCAGGATAGAATGAAGAACAGAACAGGACGAGGGACACTAAGGTATAGGATTACCAAATGCTGGATAATAAAATTCGAAGTGCAGTATACGTGCCAATAACAATTTTAATCCAGAGATCGAATATCACATACACCTGCCAGAAACCTTTTGTTCAGTATGAGGTTTTCTTATCCAATTATTCAATTAGAGGCAAAGCTTTAGCTTTCTGGTGATTTTACAATTCAAACAAACTATATAGAGCATTCATCAAGTCACCTGTCAACAAGGTGAGGAGAGGGCAAAAATGTTAGGGTCACCAATTCTTGAAAGTGAAAAAGCTACCTGTTTAGTTTTGCAGAAATCCAACAAACCTTTTATTAATTAGTGATGTGAACCAAAAAAAACAGGAAACGGGGTAAAATTCGTTATTGTAGGCAGTGCTAGTTGAGAGATTTGTGGGTTGTCAATCTCGTGAATTCCTCTATTAAAACATGACCTATGGTACTGTACTCTCAAAATGTTTGATACAACATCAGATCTTTTCTTATGTGCATCAAAAAAGTATACAAAACCTATATTGCCATAAGCAAAAAAGCTTCCGAAAATGAAATAAAAACGCAGGTCCAGTAACAATTTGAATATGCGATTAGCACTCAACTGGTGATAAATCAGTATGGAACACAAAAACAGAAGGAATATTAGTTTGAAAAAAGCAACTTACTCTACGTAAACTACACTCTAAAAACTGGAGTGTACGGCAAAGTGGTTGAGGCTGATAGATTCTACGAAATAGATTTCCTAGTGCTATTATAAATAGCGCCTAACTCACCAGCGTGTTTGTACAACGTAACGGTGAAGGCTGAGTGTAGTTCGTGATTATGTGGGTCGTAAAACTGTGATAACTGTGGACACCGACTACTGTTGCAGTACTTTTCAATCGTAAGTTGAAAGTCCTTGGAAACTTCCCAAAGATTTACCAGGTCGCTGACTAAGAATATATGAAACTTTACAGAGGAATACTTTCGACTAGTGAGAGTATCTGACACTTGATATCAAAGGGTAAAATTGAGATTCCAGAAAGGCATCTGTAAGGACTGGATGAATCTGAAAAGTGATGTCTTAGTTGCTTCCTTCCAGGACCACATAACCCGAGTGTTGCGTTTGTGCACCGCTTCATTGAGCGGAATCAAGTTACTGATTTGGATACAGCGCTTTTTTGTAATTAAAAGCAATGTCCCAGTTGGTTAAGTGCACTTAAGCTGACATTAGTAGGTACGTATATCGAAAACACACAGTCAAACACAATATTAGCTTACATCTTATTCTGTATTTTTGTTACACTCACGCGCGATATTCAAACGAGACAGTGGTATTTTTCCTCTGAATAATTTTCACAGTATTGATCGTTAAATTACGCATCAAGACTGCTGTTTTTGCTCTAATTGAATGCCTTCAGTTAAAATAATCCCCAAAAGTACAGCTTTTTTCTCTGGAGAGATTTATCATCAGTACTTAACGAGTACAGATACTTGAAACTAAAGGCATTGGTAGTTACTCTTCGTCGTTGAATATAACTTCGAGCATTGTCTGTATCCATAGGTTTTAAGATCTTTCCATGGCTACTGAAGTCAGATTTTTTAGTATTTCTTTGTTTTATTTATGTAGAAACATAAACCAAATCTTTGGCGCAATTAAAACATCGTTGTTGTAGACCAGCATGCTATTTCTCGGTTGATGAGGGGATGCAATGTTATAACTGCAATAAATGGTATCACAATGTGTGCACCGGACTCACCCTGGTCTCATATAAACGGTGCTGTAAGCCATTATCACATTGGTTGTGTAAAACATATTGTTATACTAAGTCTCTGCTGATTCTGAAGGTGATCGATCTACTAAACTTAGCTAGGAAATTGCCCTCTGATAAACAGGCAGCAACAGATGAACAGAACTCTGCTTTCGAGGAAAGAAAGAAGGAGCGCGCTGAGAAGAAACTATCTATAAACAGTACTGAGGCATTGGAGTCTGCGAGTTCAGTCCCGGACTCACATATCAATGTAATACAAACTATAGCGGAGCCAAGGTTGAGCAATGTAGAGTAAGTCACCAAGAGACAAAATAAGGCAAATAAGCGGCTCACAAGTAAGAAAACAGACCGTAACCTGCGTTTGACGCTGGATTAAAATCGAGGTACAAGGAAGAGACGGTTTTAGGGACTAAAAGTTCACAGCGTGTCGATACAGACCTCGCTATGAGGTCAGTCATTTTTCATAAGTTAAGAGGATCTTCCGATAATGAACCGAAACAGACATTTGAGCACGGCCTCAGTCATGTTTAGTCCTTAATGGGCAAGCTACTTCTAGAAACAGTTTCAGGAGTCGGCATCTGTAAGCTTTATGGAACAGGATAAAGGTGGATTCTGAAAGTCCTTAGAAAAGCCGTCTCCTGTAAGTCACATTTGCCACAGTTAAAGAAAGGTAACTCACGTAAACTGACTGGATCCGGAATATACGTCTGTGAGGATCTCACCCTAGCTGTTCGTCTTGAAACGAGCTGCAGAAGTGGAAATGAATGAGCGTTGCAGAAACGGTGAAAGAAACCTCGTTTTTGAGGGTTTTCAAATTGTAAAAGTACGGAGCAAAACGATCCCAAAACCACTCTGGGTGGTAACACGAAGTCCTCCATAAACTTAAAAGTATGCCTAACAAATGCTCGCAGCCTACTAAATAAAATGGTGGAGCTCAAGACAATGGTGGATGTAACGGAAAGAGAACAGTGAAAATCCCTCTTCAGCTTCTTTGTTGAACAGTATTGTCATTTATTTGTTCCTTCTCCCTGTTGTGTATTTCAACCTTTGTTCCGATCTCGTTTAACCATATCTTTTGTTTCTCAGTCTTCCTCGTTTGGGTCTTTATTATGTGATTTTGATTGAAGACTTGTCTTTTGTTACCTAATCTTCTATTGCATGTTGCCGGACCATTGACAGTAAGGTCGTGTTTGACTAAGCCCAAGGTCACGGCGTGGTTCAGTGCGCGTTTGTTGACCTTCTGATTGTCTGCTTGGGGGGATTGCTGGAATCCCTGCAGATAGATATTTGATCCCATTTTGTTGGGAATATTTGTATTGATTCTCAGGTACCAAACCCTTTAGTATTAACTGTCTCTTTTATTGTTTAGCGCGCTACTTTGCGTTAGAGAAACTTCTGACTGTATAGCACAGGCTGTACCGTTTGAGGTATTTTGTATTTTCGATGTAATTTGTTCTGTTTTCTAAATTAGAACCGTTTATATTGAGCACAGAGTTTGTGTTTTGATATAATATAATACGAGTATCTGAAAAACGCGTTGTGAGCTATACAGAGGAACGTGGTCTGGTCTAATCAAATAAATTTTGGGTTCGTCAGTCCGTTGTTCCATTCGAATATTGATTGTTCGGTCGCTACAGTGGATAACGTAAAACCGGATGTTATTTCTGTCTCAGAAACTTGGTTGGAAGTATTAGATAATGAAACTCAGTTGACTGGTTTTTTATCCAGTGGGGCTGATAGATTAAACCGCAGAGGATGTTGGGTTATACTGTACACGAAGAATGTCTTAGCCATAAGAGCAGTTGAGACAGTGACATATGTTTCAGGGACATGTTAACTGGTGCGATGTAAGCTGAAATGTAGACGGCAAGATATTGAATTTGTTGTAGTGTATCGCAGTCCAGAATGTGCAGCAGATGATTTTCTCCTAAGTAAAATTAAGTCCTGGTGTAACAAGGGCAAAACCCTTGTAGTAGGCGACTTTGGTGCACCGTATATAAACTGGGTTAACTTAGAAGTAGGGTCATCGATAGCGTTGTTCGATTGCAAACTGTTAGACACCTCGATTGGATTAGCTTTATTCCAATACATTAGAAATCCCACAATATATGGCTTAATAAACTCTTCCTCTCTTCTAGATTTAGTCTTCACATACGGTGATGACATTGATCAAATGACTTTCCTCCCGCCACTATGGAGAAGTGACCATGCAGTCATCTTATTCAAATTCATGGCTGAGATTGTCTGTCAAACAGTTACGCCGGCTCGTCCTAATATATGGAAGGCAGATATGGAGGCGATCAACTCCACATCATCGGCTGAAAACTGGCAAATTGACTCAAGGGCGTCAGTACAAGAGGCATGGACTCATTTCAGGCAGTTATACAACCGGGTAGCTCAACCATACATACCCTGGACAGTTGCAAAGAAAAAGAAGAAGAAGCACGGCTATCCCTGGATAGACTGGGATATTCGACGTATACTAGGACAAAAGAAATGTTGGAATGTTGTTATCAGCCTTGGCACAGCAGGTACGATGGAGTGCTACAGATCACTAGGAAACACGTGCATAACTAAAATTCGGGAAGCTCAAAGAAAATATAAAATGCTGTTGGTACAATCTGCACTCAAGCAGCTTAAGAGAGTATTCTCGTACATAAACTACAGAACGAGGATGCGCCATTAGATCCCCAATCTCAATAAAGAAGGAAGTCAATCTGAAATGATAGAGGAAGATCAGGAGAAAGCAGAGGCTACGCCTGACTATTTTGGGGCAAAGAACCAGACCTAATTACAGAGTCAACAAACCACCTTCTCACCGTGGACTTCGATCAAGACGATGTGCTTAAGGTTCTTAGCATCTTAGACATGGAAAAGTCAACAGGACCAGATGAACTACACCCTAAAATCTTGAGAAATATTGCACAATATATCGCGGCACCACTGGCCGCGTTATTCAATATGTCACCTGACCAAGGTGTGTTACCTATGGACTGGAAGGACACAGTTGTCATTCTCAAACATAAAACAGGACCAAGACAAGTTCCATCGAACTACAGACCTGTAAGCCTCACCAGTGTTGTAGTTAAAATATTGGAAAAAATAGTCAAACGGACAAGAAGGGCATTTATGGAAACCAATAACTTGCTAAACACAAAACAACATAGTCTTAGAAATGATTTATCTTGTACAACGAACCCTCTTATAGCAAGGGAATTTTGGATAAAGGCACTAGACGACGGAAACTCAGTGGATGTTGTTTACATAGACTTCAGTAAGGCCTTTGACAAGGTGCCAACTAATAGACTGCTATTTGAGTTGGAAAACCTTGGTATTGCCGGACCTCTTTTAAAATGGATTAAGGATATCCTAGTAGGTCGTAGACAGAAAGTAAGAATAAATTCCAAGTGCTCCATCTGGAGACCAGCACTTAGTGGAGTACCTCAAAGTTCAGTCCTAGGTCCTTTACTTTTTATAATGTATGTAAATGGTCTTCCAAGTATAGTACAGTCACCAATGTTATTATAAGCTGAGGTGTAAAAATCTGGCTAGTAATAACTGGAGACGCAGACACATGTGCTCTTCAGGGAGACTTAAATAATATGATTAACTGGTCTAAAGAGTGGCTGGTGCTTATCGACGCGGCAAACTGTGTCCACATGCACTTTAGGGACACAAAGGTTAATAGGTACAGCATAGGGGAAGTCCCAGTACCCGTGGTACGGTCTCATAAGGATCTAGGGGTGACAGTCAGTCATGATCTCAAGACGACGGCCCACTGCCGGGAGATCTCAGCCAAGAGGTTTCGGACCCTTTAGGCTTCAAAACGGAAATTTACCAAGTTAGATACTGCCATGTTCACCACAGTATATACAACCTTGTTGTTTAAAAGGTGACTCGAATATCCTAGAAAATGTACAGAGGGCAGCTACCCGTGCAATTCCAGAACTCCTGGGTTTACCATACAAAGAACGACTTGAAAAGCTAGACCTCTTTACTCTGCCCTATCGCAGGTGAAGGGGAGATCTAATTTTGATGTACAGAATACTGAAAACGAGTTCGAACCTAACTTATTCTCTATTTTTTTTCCCACTAGATCGGGACACCTCAAAGGACATAGCAGGAGAGTAGAAAAGCCAAGAACGAACAAAATACCCGTGGCATACAGGTTTTTGCACCGAGTCATCAATACTTGAAACCTGCTGCCCGAAGCAGTGGTGTCCTCACCTTCAATTGACACGTTCAAAAGAAGATCGGACACTCACAGGAGTATACTAGAAAAGGAATAACATATGCCTTAGGTGTTCTGTCCTTACTACACAAATGTGAATCTGAATCTAATAAAATTTGGTCTCTACTCCTCAATAATGAGGATAGTTGATCAGTCTACTTGT